TTATTTTGTCTAGATCTATCAAGGGAATTACCATCTATGACATCTACAGCCTTACAAAATGTATTTCTTAAATAATAAGACCAGAAAGTCAAAATTACTCCTTGATCCATGGAATACAGAATGGATGTTGTGTTAGCAGGCACGAAAACAACATTAATCTCTATGTACGTCTCCATCATAGCTCTTGGATAACCAGGTACATTCTCGGTAGGCAGTAATATTTTCAAAGGAATCTTTTCTTTTTCTGAGCAGTAGGTCTCAACAGTGGGCTTAAAATACTAAGTAAATCATGCTACAAGTAGGTGTGCTGTAATCCAGGCTTTGTTGTTCCACTTACAGAGCACAGACAGAGTAGATTTAGTAGAATTCTCAAGGACCCTAGGATTTTCAAAATGATAAATGAGCAGGTACTTCAACTTAAAAGTCACTAGCTGCATTTATTCCTAATAAGAGAGTCAGCCTATGCTTTGAATAAAGCCAGGTACTGACTTGTCCTCTCTACCTATTAAACTCCTAGATGGCATCTTCTGCCATTAGAAGGTTGCTTCATCTACACTGAAAATCTGTCACTTAGTATAGCCACCTTTATCAATGATCTTAGCCAGATCTGCCAGATAACTTGCTGCAGATTCTACATCAGGTTCTACATCATAACTTGTGCAGCTTCACCTTGCACCTTTATATTATGGACACAGCCTGTTTCCTTCAATCTCATGAACTAACCTCTGCTAGCTTCAAACTTCTCTTTTGCAACTTGCTCACCTTTCTCACCCTTCATAAAATTAAAGAGAGTTAGGACCTTGCTCTGGATTAGGCTTTGAATTAAGTGAATGTTGTACCTGGTTTGATCTTCTATGCAGACCACTAAAACATTCTCCATATCAGCAATAAGGCTGTTTTGCCTCTTATGATTCATGTGTTCACTGGAGCAGCACTTTTAATTTCCTTCAATAACCTCTTTTGCATTTGCAACTTGGTTAACTGGCACAGGAGGACTAGCTTTCGGCCTTTCTCAGATTTTGACATGCCTTCCTTACAAAGCTTAATCATATTCAGCTTTTGGTATAACGTGAAAGACTTGGGACTCTTCCTTTCACTTGAACACTCAGGACTTTTAGGGTTACCAACTGGCCCAATTTTGATACTGTTGTGTCTCAGAACAGGGAGGCCCCAAGAGAGGGAAAGAGATGGGGGAATAGCCAGCAGGTCAAGCAGTCAAAACACACACAACTTTATTAAGCTTGCCATCTTACATGGGCATGGTTTGTGGTGCCCCAAAACAATTACAATAGTAACATCAAGGATCATTGATCACAGATAACTGTAACAGATGTAACAATGAAAAGGGTGCTCACTTTGGCAGCATATATTCTAATAGTGGAATGATACAGAGAAAATTAGCATGGCCCCTGCACAAGGATGATATGCAAATTCATGAAACATTCCATATTTTTTAAAAATTATAAACAATAAAAAGGTTTGAAATATTGCAAGCCTAACCAAAATGAGACACAGAGACACAAAGTGAGCATATGCTGTTGGAAAAAATGTTGCCAACAGACTTGCTCAACACAGGATTGCCACAAACCTTCAATTTGTAAGAAGCGCAGTATCTGCAAAGCACAACAAAAGGAAGCAAAATAAAACAAGGTATGCCTGTACAGTCATCCATGTAACAGCATCAGTGCCCAAAAACAGTAGATCCCATCTTCCTTAATGAGCCCTAATTAACTCTAATTAACATTTGTGGCAACTTACCATTGCTAAAAATAATAAAACATTACATTTGTATAACATCTCACAGTTTACAAAGCACTTCTACACATAACATCAAATCTGAATCTCACAAAGTTCTTCAAAACAGACTTTTTTTTTTTTTTTTTAGATGAAGTTTTGCCCGTTGCCCAGGCTGTAGTACAGTGCCATGATCTCAGGTCACTGCAACCTCTGCCTCCCAGATTCAAGGGATTTTCCTGCCTCAGCCTCCCAAGTAGCTGGGATTACAGGTCCCCACTACCAGACCGGGTTAGTTTTTTGTATTTTTAGTACGGGGTTTCACCATGTTGGCCAGGCTGGTTTCAAACTTCTGACCTCAGGTGATCCACCTGCCTCAGCCTCCCAAAGTGCTGGGATTATGGCATGAGTCACCGCACTGGGCCAAAAACAGATTTTTTAAAAATCACTTTCTCTCTCTCTCTCTCTCTCACTCTCTCTCACTCTCTCTCTCTCTCTCACAAATGAGGCTAAAGGAGATTAAGCGGTTTACTATAGGTCTCACATCATGTAAAGAAGAGAAGCCCACAGACAGAGAAGGGCTCCAGTGCTCTTTCCACTCTAAGAAAAAGCAGCAACATATATCCCAAAATGAGGAGTGAAGGTTTGTAACAACTAGTACTGCTGTCACAGGCACTTTCATTCATTATCTTACTTCAACAACCTTGCGCAGCAGGTAAGAAAGAATGCAGAAAAGCTCTGCGTCAGTGGCACAGCCAGAATTCAAGTCCAGGTCGTAACCAGTTTAAAGTCTGTGCTTCACAAATGCTGATGTGCCCAAACTGGCCACAGAAGCTCATTAGGGATAAGTTTTCCATATTCAGCAACTCAAAGGGGACACTTACCAGTTAACTCTGACATCTGATGCCTGAACTTGAATTCTGCCTCTCTGTTGCTCACTGTACAAATCTAGACAAGTTACCAAACTGCTCTGTAACTCTGTTCCTCTATCTGTAATGCTGGGGTGATAACATAACCTACCTCATAGCATTGTTATGCAGGTTAAATTAATATTTACAAAGTACTTAATATTTATAAAGCACTAAACAGTAATTAGCATATAGGATAACAGAAATGTTTGCTAAATACCAAAAAACTATACAATTTCTTGAACATTAGGCAGCAGGATACAATTATGCTGAAGCAGTTCAATTCTTTTACACTTGCTTATTCAAATTTTTTTAAAATAACATCTGGTTTGTCACTGTGGAAGAAAGCACTGTTACTTACAAACACCTAAATAAATTCACTGACCACAGTTTCATTTCACTTAGGTGTTTTTTTGTTTGACGGAGTCTCGCTCTGTCATCCAGGCTGGAGTGCAGTGGCATGATCTTGGCTCACTGCAACCTCCACCTCCCTGGTTTAAGCAATTCTCCTGCCTCAGCCTCCCAAGTAGCTGGGATTACAGCCACACACCACCATGCCCGGCTAATTTTTGTATTTTCAGTAGAGACAGGGTTTCACCGTGTTGTCCAGGCTGGTCTCTAACTCCTGACCTCAAGTGATCTGCCCACTTCAGCCTCCCAAAGTGCTGGGATTGCAAGCGTCAGCCACCATGCCCGGCTTCATTTAGTATTTTATAGCAATGGGTCCAGAGATTTTCTCCTTAAGTGTTCATGTATTAAAGCCTATAGCCAACTCTAGCAAAGGTGATTTGGAGCTTCTGCAACACAACTAAAAGTCTATAGAAGAGAAACCTAGTTGTCCAACAAACAATCTTATAAAGCCACAAAACCTACCAGCAGTACCATATGTGTCTTGCAGTCATTTATATAATAACTAAGAATTGGTCAATAGAACATGAAAGCCTGTTTGCCAAAGACTGTAGACGTTCTAATTTGACTGTTCTATATTTGACATCTGTTCTTTTTCCCTCCCCCATTCCCACTAAAAAAAAAAAAAAAAATTCATTTTTTCTAGAAATTAACTTACTGAACAGCACTAACGCACCATGGGTACAATTAGAACACTGGTCACAGGATCACAAAGTTCTGCTCTCTCAAGTTAGAGCTATTTCAGATTATATTCCTGTAATCAAGAACTGTCATCAGTTCAAGACCACGCATGGAAACCCCTTCTCAGGTTAGCCAAAATGAACCTCAAGGCACCACTGGCAGAGTCTACTAATTTCAACAGGTAAGTTAGCCTTCCTTTTTTAAAATTAAAAAGATAAACCATAAGTGCTTCACAATGACCTTCAAGGGGTAGCCCCAGAATTTCTCCAGAAGGTAAAAAAATTCAGTGAGTCTGCTCAGTATAAATAGGCAGCTGAGACTGCTGCCTAATACAAAATAAATTAGTCAAAGAGTTCAAATTCAGAAAACAGAAATCAATGCTTTATGTCACTGCTTTAAATTTTTTTTTTTTTTTTAGACAGAGTCTCACTCCGTCAGCCAGGCTGGAGTGCAGTGGCATCATCTCGGCTCACCGCAATCTCTGCCTCCTGAGTTCAAGTGATTCTCCTGCCTCCGCCCCCCAAGTAGCTGGGATTACAGGCATGCACAACCACACCCGGCTAATTTTTGTATTTTTAGTATAGACAGGGTTTCGCCATGTTGGCCAGGCTGGTCTTAAACTCCTGACCTCAGGTGATCTGCCTGCCTCGGCCTCCCAAAATGCTAGGATGACAGGCATGAACTACCTCGCCCAGCCTAAAATTATCTCTAATGATGTAAAGGGTGAAAAAAACACAAACGAGCAGTATTTTATATTCCAGCCCCCACGCCCTTCCCAACCAAGCCACTTAGAGATGATCACGAATCCATAGGAAAGGAGCACCCTGGTAAGTCCGTATCCAGAGCATATAAGCTGCCATCCTAAAAGTGACAACGGCATGGGAAAGTGGGACGTCAAAAAGAAATGCAGTGGTAAGGCTAAAGAGCTTTCCCTTTCTCCCTATTGTCCCCCGACAAATCCTAACACCTACCTTAAACCTACATTACTCCATATCGTAGATTTTAATCCCTGGCCTGCCAGTTAAAACGAACAAGCAAAAAGACATTAACTCCAGGAAAAGTGGCTTTTTTTTTTTTTTTGAGACAGGGTCTCACTCTGTTACGAAGGCTGGAGTGCAGTGGCATGATCATGGCTCACTGCAGCCTTGAACTCCTGAACTCAAGAAATCTTCCCACCTCAGCTTCCCAAGTAGGTAGGACTACAAGCATGCTACTATGCCCAGCTAATTTTTTTTTAAATAGAGACTGGGTTTCACTATGTTGCCCAGGCTGGTCTTGAACTCCTGGGCACAAATAATCCTACTGCCTTGGCCTCCCAAACTGTGGGAATTACAGGTGTGTGCTACATACCCGCCAAAAGGGGCATTTTAAATCAATGAAGAAAGAATACACTTACTCATTTAAAAATGTGGAAATAATTTGTTGTTTTTCCTCCTTCCTATCTTTTTTTTAAGACAGAGTCTCACTCTGTCACCCAGGCTGGAGTAAAATGGCTTGATCTCAGCTCAATTCAAGCGATTCTCCTGCCTCAGCCTTCCAAGTCACTGGGAATACAGCCACCCATCACCATGACCAACTATTATTTGTATTTTTAGTAGAGATGGGGTTTCACCATGTTGGTCACGTTGGTATCAAACTCCTGACCTCAGGTGATCCACCCACCTCGGCCTCCCAAAGTGCTGGGTTTACAGGTGTGAGTCACCACGCCCGGTCTCTCCTTCCTATCTTAAACAATGGATTAAATTTTTACACATAGAAAACTATAAAATACTGGCCGGCCAAGTGTACACACACACACACACACACGTTCTCCATTGAGTGTTGAGGTAGGATATGATGAGAGGTAGTAGTTGTATTTATGGATGGGAGGGGTTGAGTAGGATAACTAATCCTGGGGGGGAAAAGTCTCAATTTAAAAAAATCTGCAGTTTAATTTTGTTGAACTTCAATTGGTAACTCATTGTGACTTGTTCATATCCCTTGCCTGTTCTATATATCTATAGATATCATAGACACATAGAGCAGGCAATTCTGGGTAGCCCCAGAATTTCTCCAGAAGGTGAAAAAAGTTCAGTGAGTCTGTTCAGTATAAATAAGCAGCTGAGACTGCTGCCTAATGCAAAATAAATTAGTCAAAGTTCAAATTCAGAAAACAGAAATCAATGCTTTATGTCACTGCTTTAATTTTTTTTTGAGACAGAGTCTCTATGTATACATAGATATACGTGTATATACGTATATCTATACATCTATATATATATACATCTATATATATAGCATGTGTACACGCGCGTAAGGAAGAATAAGTCTGCCAATTATAGCAGAGTTTATACAGGCGAGTTCCTTGTTACTTAAAACTGAATGTCAGCTGCACGCCAGCCATACCACCTCTCTAAGAGACCATCAAGAGAAATTTCTCTGCTTCAGCATCTGGAGCAAATACTCAATATGACAGACGTAATATATTTTTACCCTTGTGTACTTACATACTTTTAAGTTTCTTTACTCATTTAAAAATGAACAGTAATCTTTGAAGAATTAATTGTCTTAGTAGGTTAACTCTCACAGAAGTGAAGCTAAACTTTTGCTTAAGGTAAATAATTAAATTAAAATGAAACTGAGAATAAAAGGAAATCTGTCATCCCCTAAATTAGCTGGAAATATTTGTTTCCACAGTTCACAAACTATCTTTTTGCTAATGAGAGCAGGATATTTCTTTCTCTGAGAAAGAGAGAAAGTATTCAAAGCAATGGCATATTTCATGATAAAGACTTCCAAATCAGCAAACAACAAAAGCCCAAAAATTATTGAACAAATTGTTTCCTTTTATGTCACAGAAAGGCAGAACTGTGTACATGTACTAAAAAATAAGCTAAGTTGCAATTAATTTTGACATAACAGCTTTTTAAAAATAATTCAAATATAATGCTGAATCTTTTTAATACATACATATATAAAGGGAAATTTTTTTCAAAATTCATGCTTAACTTTTTCTCCTAAATTATTTTTTTAATTCAATGATTTTTTTCCAATTTTTATTATTTTAACCATTTCAACATCAAAGTACTGAATGAATTAAGAACATTGATTTTCTAACAATGCACCTCTTCTCTGCCAACTGTCAATAGTTCTATCATGCATCCCACAAAGGTAACATCACTGATGAAATCTAATTTCCCTCTGTGCAATTAAAATACCCACCTGTTCATCAGAAGTTCCTTTCTTACAATCTGTCAAAGTGATATACAACCCCTCAAAAGCACTGATTAGAATGAAAAGAACTAGAAAAAAACCTTGAATAGAGAAACCACCAACTGTGTAAAGCACACAATTTCTTTAACTTTCATTTTTAATAGCATTAATATTAAAGAACCACCAAAGACAGTAAGCATACAGATTCACAGTACAGGGAAAAAGAACACTGGACAGAGATCATCGAAATCCTAAGCTGTGTTCCTAACTCTGAAACGGACTTGACCAATGATTCTAGACCAGATATTTTACCTCACAGGTTTACTTTTCTCATCTATAAAAATACAGATGTTGGACTAAATTATCTCTACGAGATCCAAAATTCTATTACCTAACCAAAGTAACTGCAAAAATTCCATTTTATTAAAATGTTTTTTGTTCTACTGACTCTAGATACTGGTATGCAAGCACATAGCTCACCATGAATAAAGCCAAGTAGCCAGTAAATTTTCCACATTTGCATCCCTCCATTAGTTATTAAACTTGAAGAACTAGACTATGAAGGTATCCTGCTAAGTCAATGTAAGAATTTCACTTTAACTTAAAAGAGGATGTAGTTCTTTAAATTCATCTCTGGCATGCTGAATTCTACTTTGGGAGCAGGAACAGCAGGGAACAGGTCATCAAACATCGATTCCTGTCCTAATCTACACCAAAGAGGAGGTCTGCTTTGGTTGGTTGGCAACCTCCAGCTGACTTGTGTACATTAGGTCCAAGCCCAAAAGAAAAGGCAGGGATCTGACAGTTTTAAGCCCATAGCCATGTCTTACAGAACTTAAAACAACTACCACCTTTAAGGCCCTTCAAAAAAAACATGCTCTCTAATAAAGCCTCAGAATGTTATGAGTTGAAAGAGATCTTGGACTTACTCTACTCCAACCCCATCGTTTTACAGATGAGGAAATCAAAGCCCAGGGTAGGTTAAAATGAATGCCCAAAGTCATGCCAAGTTTCCCAACTCTCAGATTAGTTTCTCTAAAAAGCAGTACATTTTCTCTCACAGTGTGAGATAAAAGGAAAAAATTCTTTCCCAAAGTTCTGTTTTTGAAAAAAAGAGTTACTTTGACCCCACCACCACCACACCAGCCAAACTCTTGCTGTATTTTAAAAACATGCCTGGTATTTGAAAAGAAAGCCCAAACACTCTAACACATTATTAACTGAGGCAGGTATATGAAAAGATTCATTCTCCACCTGCTCTTCCTCAGATGTCTGAATCAGAAGAAACAAAAAGCAAGAAATACAAATCTCTTCCTCAAACAGAATGTGAGGGAAAAAAACTTTTAAAAAATTACAACCAATTCAAATTCTCTCAATTTTCACCTTCTAATTAGATTTTTCACTCATTATTGAAATGGTCCAAAACCAAATATTTCAAATTTCATTCAATCTTCAACTGCATGCTTTCACAAACAAGAAGCCACGCTAATTTACTTTTAGCCAAGCTCCAGTTCGAAAAGTATATGCCAAGAATGCTGGATATTTTTTGCTTATGTTTTGCTAAAGTGTTGATATCTGCAAAATCATACAATATATGCAACCTACAAATATTTTATGGAGTTTGTATTATAACTTCTAGGTCACAAACTCAAGAGGCCACTAGGCTTATACTTATTGTTAAATACATTTTAAAATGTATAAAAATCTCAAATGTAACAAATACAAGTGAGGATGGGGGGATTACTTCAGTATGGATGCCTCGCTTTTCTCATTTAACATGCCAAAACGTATATGAGGCCAAGTCATGGTAACACAACAAAACTATTCCAATTCTAAAACCAAAGAATAACACTTCATTAATGTAGTAACTATTATTATGCTCGATAAAAAGTATAATATCACAGAACTTCAAAAAGTTGCTATTTCACAGTTACCTAAATATACTAATGTCTTTTAATCAAATTATCATTAAAGTCTATTCTTTCCAGGTCTTTGAGTTTCAATTTATCAAAATTTTCCGGAGTTGAAGTTTCATATAAATCCAGTCAGTCAGTCATACCACCTTAGGTTACAAATATCTAAAATATCCAATGAATCCACAAGGTCGATTTTGTTTAACTATATTATCTTTAGAAAACCAAAGTTAGGTATAAAAAACAGTTTGCCCTGCAATCACAGTGACATCAGACCAGATTCAAAACCCCTCATTACTAGCGTTCTACCAGATGCCTGTGATTAAAGGGAATCAGTTTAGAAGGTGGAACATTGAAGAAAAAAAAAGACTTCATTTTCCCAGGCTGTTTTAGACATTCTGATAACATCTCTTTCTCTTTTTCAAAATTAAGGAATCGTTTTTCTATTGAGTGGCTTCAGGATCTGTTGACTTTCACAGTACAATCAAACCCTTCTCCAGGCCAGATAGGCTGAACCATGTTAAACCCTGGCACATAACAAAATCATTAAATCTAAGATGCCTCATTTGACAGATGTCTCATTAAATTCACTGCAAAATTAAGGTATGAGATGCCTTTGAAAAGTGGGGAGAAAACCTGTTAACTCTAACAAAACTTTGAGAGATGGCTATTCTCTCAAAATCCAGAGTTCACTCACATGAAATAGAAGACATTAATAGTATGTGGCACATCTAAAATCTCTTGTCATGGGAGAAATGCCGCTGTGTGTATGTGTGTTTAACACATCCCTGGGGACTCAAACAGGATGGAAGCTGAAAAATCAGGCACACACCCTCAGCTGCTTAACAAAATTCCAAAAATTCAATTCAACAAATGTTAAACTAAAACGTCAAGTATTACACTAGGCTTTGATCACATACAATGTCAGTGAACGTTGTGTTACCAGTCAATGAAAAGGTAAATTCAGGATTCTAAGAACGAGAAACAAGAAAAACATTTTACACTTAAAAAAATAACCATCTTTGTATATATCAATCATTTAAGGTGGGTGATTTGACAATCTTGTAGCAACCAAAAGATAAAACTTTCAACCTAAAACTTTACACAAACTCATTTACACTCATCTCCTGCCCCTACATTATTTCAATGCATAAAAAATTTTAGTTATTTAGAAATAACTGAAATTCAGGGAGAAGAACTTACTCTCCAGTACTATTATAACATATGAATTATAAAAATTACACAAGAGCATAGTAACACCAAGAAAGTATCATTAAAAGACAGACAATTCCACTTTTTAATAATAGGTTTAGGTAAATAAGATATTTAATGACAGATATTTTCAGTTACTTTAAAAGCTGTATTTTAAAGAAACTGAACTGTCATGCACACACACACAATACACACACCCCCCTCAAAAGTCACCCACTTTTCTTCCCAATGAAGATTTACAGTTTAACAAATAGGTATGCCTGAATAAGAGAATAAAGAACTATTAGGTAAACTTTAATTCATATCAACTTAAATGCAAGCATGACTATTTGCAACCAGAATATTTAGAACACTTTACTTCTCTTTCCATACTGTCTACTTATTTCTCGTCTTGGTTATCTATATTTTTAAAGACAGCATGATAAACAGAGCCATCCACATTTCACAAGAAATACCACTATGAGTATATCACCTCATAACCAACAAAAACCGCATATTTTTGGAATGCTTTTAACCAAGTGAAAAATTCAAGTGTAAATTTAATTTAGCATCGATTCATGAATTGCAAAACAGAATACCCAAGCTCTCTATTCTCCATCCTGCCGAGGATGGAAAAACCACAAGCAAGGGTCAGATCTCTCTGTGCATCAGTTTCTCAGTCTGAAAAGAAGATTGTCACTGACTCCTCCTTAACACTGTTTTTGAAAGGGCAAATGAAATAATTTATGTGAAAACCCTTTAAGATGTTTGAAGATAATAAAATCCAATGTATTACAGATGTTATCAAATCACAGTTGGGAAGGATGGCATGTACTTTACAACAAAAACAAATAAATAGAAACATTAAAATTAAAATATTTTTAAAATTGTAAACCCTCTGTACTGAAAATTAAAGAGACTGTTCAAGCACACACTGGTGTCACATGTTCAAACCGTGTTACTCAATGCTGCTGTAATTATAGTAATAAAAACCTACTCGTCAATATTACAGCTTAATACTGAACTACCCCTCTTGGTTTGCATGTAGGAAACCACATAAGGTTTGATCATTCCCAGAAGAGAAAAGAAAGGGAATATAAGAGGGATACAGATTGTTCCAGAGAAATCCCAAGGAGTCACACATAAAAATGCCTTGTCCAAGATTCACCAGGTACAGTGAGTGTGCACTTTATTCTGTCAACACCCTTTGTCATTACTAAAATTCGAACTTAAATTGCTAGACTACTCAGATCTAAGTGGTGGGAGAAAAGAGTCAAAAAAATATAAAAAGATACAGTTAATGCTGCCCTACATCAATGACAAAGGCTCCCCAGAGAGTCGAAAACAAAAGCTCATTCACATTTAGGAGTCCACAACTTCTGTCAGGCAACCTAAGTTCTTGAATTTTTTTAACCTACAATTACTCTCTCTCAGGCAAAATTTAAGATGTCTGATTTTAAAAGGATGTTAATACTTAAGTAACTTCAGATAAAGCTAATTAAATTTTCTCATATCTTAAGTCAGCTAAGAGAATGGTGGCCTGGTAGATGCTATAACAACTTTGAAACCAAGTTTTCATTAACAACTCCGCAATTAGATAGTACCTTTACCCAAGGCCTTTTTATTCATTAAGGACTTTCATTTTACTTTACCCAAATAAATATTTAAATATTCAAGGCAACCACAAATGGGTTTCAAAGAGTCTAAAGAACAACCCTACTCAGCTTACAAACACTAAAATTTAATAGAAAGGTAATTTTTAAGAGTAGACCCTCAAGACAATAGGTAAGCATAATTTAAATAAAGAAAAATATTCAAAAGAATTTGAAAGCAACTTCCTAGCTATCCTGAACCCCAAATATACATAAACAAACAACATGTAGCAATAAATTTAAAAATAAGTTATATATAAAATTATCAATGGGGTACAGAATTTTCAAAAAACCCTGTAAAAGGTGTCATCTAAAACAAACAAACATTATCCTCTTCCTACAGAAAAAACAAAAACAAAAAAAACTTCTACCAAAATGTAACTCTCTCCTGTTGAGGTGTCCTATATTCTGTTGGAACACAGAGAGAATTTCTAGGAATCACTTCCAGCCTGATGCAAACCTTCACTATATGTGAAGTCCTGACAATGCTTCCATAAGTGAGATTACACTTCATTCATCAATAACGGAACTTCTTAGCACAAATTCAAGCGGATTCACCATACTAAATTTTGTTCTATGGCAAATGAATAAGAGCAAAGATGTGTGGCATATTAACCCAGGCTTAAAATAATCTCAACTTTGCTTAAAAAACAAGCAGTTAGGTAACTGTAACAATCAGGCATCTTTCTTCTAGGACACCTGTACACTGCTTTAAATTCAAGAACAGAGTGGATACTGTGTGGCATCCCCACTTTATTAGTTGTAAGCATATACTCGGCGGCATGAATGCATTTATGGCTGTGCATATAGAAACAAGGCAGTAAGTGCGGAATGAGGTAACAATTACTGCTTTTCATAGAGAACAAAACAAGATTAAAAGATCATGCCAAACATTTAACTGGGAAAGATTTCTCATTTTAGTATTAAGATGAGTTTTGAGGAAAAAACAAGTGCTTATTACCCACTAGAATACTTGGGACACTCTTGAAGAGAATCGAAGGGAAACAAAGATTTAAATTTCATAACTATGACACCCAAAACCTTTCCATGGACATTTATCACAATGGACATATCAATCATGAGCAAAACAAGGGATAACACACTCTTTCCATATAAAATGTGTTCAAACTCTATTTAATACATCCCTTGTTTTATATACATTTCCTTCCAGGTAGGTATAAGGATGCCTATTTTTAATGCTTTTGTAAAATAATAATATTTTACAAATTACATGAATTACAGGAGAAACAGATACAGCTGTTGATCTTACATAATAAATCATCTATTTCCTGGGCCATAAACTTTAAAAGGCATGTCATCCAGTTGACAAACTGTCTTCAGATACTACAAATGCTACTGTATTATTATTTGGTTTTCTTTACAAGGAAAAGATTCATCAGAAATTCACTTAAGAATTTCAGAAAAACTTCCAAGAAATTTAAAATGACATCTCACTAGAAATGCTGTCAGTCTTGCATATTTCAATGTGGGAGTAAAGATGTAAATATTTATTCTTGCCAACTAATTAAACTGCCACTGGGACACAAGCTGGACCGAAAGACATTAAATTGTAAAGAATGACTACAAATTAATGGAATTATAAGTATGATTGTTCTTCCACCATCATCTACAACCTAAAAACCTAAAGCTGACGAAGATTTAACACTCCTGATTTAATTTTGCTATGCTAACTTTATTTAAAATAAAATTCCTTATCGCTCAGAACATAGTTATTCAAACCAGAGGAAGAAAAGGATGCAAACTACTTATCAAACTCAAGTACAATATCCAGGACCTAATAGCTCCTGAATTTAGTACTAGTCAAGTCTTTAGCCAAAAGACTAAAAACATTACGTGGGTCACCCCTAGTCAGGAATTTGATAATGTACTGAAAAAAGATGGGGAAGATTTTAGATCACATCTGAAGAAATAGTAACACCTAAATCCTTCTTGTGAACTCTCCTGCAAGTCCCACAGCAGTGGTCACTTCTGACCATAAAGGCTGGAAGAAATGCGAGAAGAAACAGGAAAAATCATTTTTTTATGCAAGACAAACTTGCAGACAAAACAGAAATCGAGCAAAAAAGCGCTGGGGAAAAGTATCAGTGAAAAAACGACCCTTTTGTCAGGTTTCTAATGAGGACTCCATGGGTAATTTATGAGTGTGGCAGAGCTGAATAAACAAAGGCACCAGTTGACAAGTCAGGAGCTCCCGGTGGCACACACAGCTAGAACACTCAACTGGACAGTGAAATGCAAGCAAGAGTGTTCTAGAGCATTTCTGCTGTCATTTCTTCTGTCCGTCTTATGCTCGCTCACATGACCATTTACCTGAAATCCCAAACAACCTGAAACCCAACAAGTCCCTGAGGAAGCACCTTTATGGTTAAACGTGCTCTTGCCGCTTTCAGGGGGATTTGCTTCCTGTACTTCGTGGTGATTCAGCCACCTCCTCCACATTGCTTTCCCACCTCTGAGACCTCAAGATTGATAAAAACGCGCAGATTTACAGATTGCTCAGTTTAGTACCACACAGACTGTATGAAAAAGCTGTAAAGTTTAAGACAAAGACTCACCAGGACCCGCACTGACTCCTGGATTGGGCAAACTGATAAGCAATTTGAATCACTCCTCGGTCTTCCGCAGCGTTTGCACCCACCCGTCAAGGTAGGTGCCTTCCTTACCTGCATAGAAGCGAATGAGGCAGCCAATCTCCGAGTCCATGCCTTCCTCCTGCACCCTCCACAGCTCCCCAAATCCCAGCTGGAAGAGGTAGTCATTTTGGATCTGCAATGGCTTCTCCTCCGCCTCCAGGCGCCGGGTGGTCTCTCCGTGGAGCTGCACGTACAGGGTGGGCGGCGGGGGCGGCGGAGGCGCTTTCTCCGCGGTCGCCCCGCTCCTCCTGGGGGTCGACTGGGGGCCTCCCGGGGCCGCGACTGTCGCCGTCTTCTCCCTGCACGGCCCCTCGCGGGCGGCCTCGCCCGGGCTGTCGACGGCCCTCGGGGTTTTCTGCTGCGGCGGAGGCGAGGAGGCCGTCTGGAAAGGCGGCCGGGACTGCGCAGGGCGGCCGGGACGGCGGGGCGGACCCGGGACCCCCGTCGGGGCCGAGGCCGAGTCGGCCTCTAGCTCTTCCGACGACGAGGAGGAGCCGCCGCCGCTGCTGTAGGGGTCCAGCCGGTCGGACACGCTCTCGGCGCTGGGACTCAGGCTGAAGCTCTCGGTGTCGGAGGCCACAGGTCTCGGGGCGCGGGGCGGAGAGGCAGGGCCCCCAGCGAATGGCTCGCCGGGGCTGAAGTCCGAGGGCGCAGGACTGGCGCGGCGCGTCCACCCGCCCGGGCCGCCAGCGGGTAGGGGCAGGTCGGCGGGGGGCGCGCACGGAGGACCCCCGACGGCAGCTGGCGCGCTCCTCGCGGGCGGCGCCTCGGAGTCCGGCGGCTCGAGTCGGGGGCCGGCCTCCAGGGGCGGCTCGGCGGCCTCCCGGGCGGCGGCGGCTCCGGGCCCCTGGCCCAGCACCTTCACGACGCCGCCGCCTTTGTGGCCCAGCTGCAGCAGGCGGGCGGCCACCTCGCCGGCCGTGGTGTCCAGCGTGCAGAGCACCGGGCGCAGGTAGGTGGAGGCCATGTGGCGGTCAAAGACGTGCACGCAGCCGCGCTGGAGCTGGTGCCTCACCCAGTCCCGGTCCGACGGCTGCAGCTGCAGCGTCTGCCGGTGCTTCAGGAGCAGCGTCTTCCTGTCCAGGCTCCGGGTGCACAGCGACGCCGAGGCCGAGCAGGAGGCGGGAAGGCCGGCGGCGCTCGGAGAGTGCGAGGCAGCAGCGGCCAAGGACGACGACGACGACGAGGCGGCCGCAGCGGCAGCCGACAAATTCCTCTTCAGCCGCCCTCTCCTCAGCAGGAGGGAGTTGGCGCCGCCGCCGGCCCCGGGCACGGGGGCAGCTCCGCCGGCGTTGGGCAGGGGCGCCCCGCGCCGCCTTCTGCGCCCGGTGCCCCCTGCTCTGCCCGGCAGCGGCCCCAGCGGCGCCTCGCCCGGGGCCTCTTCCCGCGCCCCTCCGCAGCCGTTCCCGCCGCTCGGGGTCCTCGGGGTCAGCGCGGGCTCCGGACTCCGGCCGCCCCCGGCCGCCGCCGCCAAAGCCGCCGCGGCCGCTGCCGCTGCCGCCGCCGCCGCCGCGGCTGCCGCAGCGGCGGCCCCCGGAGCCGAAGCTCGGTCCTCCCTGCCGGGCTCGGGGAGTCGCTGCGCCGTGGCCGCGGCGGCGGGCTCCATTGCAGTGGGGCTTCGTGTTTCCCCCCCAGCTCCGGAGGCAGCGGGCGGAGAGGGAGGCGATGAGGCGGAGGTGGGAGACAGCGGCGGCGCGCGGAGGAGGAGGAAGCCAATGGCGTTCGGCTCGGCCGTTCCAGGGGATTATGTGGCGATTCGGAGCATTCCGTCGGTGTCTCCGTGTTCCATCCCGCGCGCCCGCCTCGCCGCCACCGCCCCCCCCAGCACAAGCCCTCCCCGCCCCGGTCGCGGGCTCCCCAGCGCCGGCCCCGCCCGCTCCCCGGGCCTCACCCCAGCTAACCAGCCGCGGAGCTGGGCTCATTGAATATTAATCACGCGCCGGCAAGCGGGAAGGCGGGAGGCTGGCAGGGCGGGAGGCCCGCGTGTGCCTAATGAATATTCATCACCGCATGACGGCATTCCAGGGAGGAGTGGGGAGAGCCGGGGGATGGCCGGAGGCGGAGCTTCAGGGTAAACAAACGTGACGCGTGCGTACGAGGGCGGGGCGGGGGGGCAGTTTCCCAGGAGGTTCCTGAGCCGGCCTCGGAGAGGGCGGTGAAGACAGGCGCGCGGTGCACTTTGGGGGTTGTGGTTCTCGTCCGGGTACCGGCAATCCCGAGGGAACCATGATGGACTACAAGTCCCAGTGGTCCTTAGCCCCTGCCCCTCCTGGCCGCCGGCAGCTGGCCATGGCCAGTGAGTATTGTGCCCTCTGCCGTTGAACTCTGCTAGAGTTCTTAATGAACGCGAAAGCTCTTGTTCATTAACTTGTACTTTACCTGCACTCAAGCTCGTCAAACGAGGTTTCTTTTCCCTGCTAATTAAAGATGAGGGCTTTCAGAGACTCTAAACTGCACGTAGGACCCGGGTCCTGGTCCTCACCTCCGCCCATTGTATGAGATAGATACACACCCGCCACGCCGCAGGATCACTGGCAGTGAGTGGGCCAACCTCACTTTTTTCCCACTTTTTCAAGACCCAGGAAGACAGGCGGTGTCTGGGAATTCTAAGTGAGGCTGTCGTTGAATGTGCTTGGTGGAAGTCACAACCCTAAGACTGTCCTCTCCCTATCCTGTATTTGAAAAGGAAAATGGCAAAGGACTGAGATCTCAT